CCAGCCATGATCAAAGATATTGGAGCTGCATGGGTGATCCTGGGCCACTCGGAGCGAAGGCATGTTTTTGGAGAGTCTGATGAGGTGAGTGGCCTCATGGATTGAAGATGGTTCTACATGGAAGAGTGAGCAATTAATCCAGACCTATTTCTGTAGTCCTGTTTTATTGCCTGCCTTGTTTCTTTTCCATTCCCAGCTGATTGGGCAGAAGGTAGCTCATGCTCTGGCTGAGGGCCTTGGAGTCATYGCCTGTATTGGAGAGAAGCTGGATGAGAGAGAAGCTGGCATAACAGAGAAGGTGGTTTTTGAACAGACCAAGGCTATTGCTGGTAAGAGGAAAAATAAATGGTGGTTTGGGGTTTTTTAGCAGTTCTTCAGGTCTGCTCTTCCCAGGATGGGTGTATTCTGCTCACGTATAACCTTTKCCTTCCTCTGTAGATAATGTGAAGGACTGGAGTAAAGTGGTTCTTGCCTATGAGCCAGTTTGGGCTATCGGAACTGGTAAAACTGCAACTCCCCAACAGGTATGAGCAGGGGAAAGGTGGCTGTCTAAATGACCAACTGACCCTTCCCCCTCAGGAAACCTTCCTGAAGATTCTTACTGAAAATCTCCTGGGAGTTCTTAGTGACTTAGAGAATATCTAAATGTTCTCTTGGCTTTGGAAGGGAATTGTGTGCAGAATGTCTCAGGCCTGAGTGGRACTCTTGTGTTCTGTTGCAGGCTCAGGAAGTTCACGAGAAGCTGCGGGGGTGGCTGAAAGGCCACGTGTCTGATGCTGTTGCTCAGTCAACTAGGATTATCTATGGAGGTGAGTCTGAAGCGACTTTCCAGGGCAGGAGGTGCTTAGTTTTTTTACCTGTTGCTGCAGTTGTACATCATTCTCTGCCTGGCAAGGAAACTCTTGACTTTGAGAGTATGAAGAGCCACCTTCTATCTTGTTTGGGTAGCTTTCTTGGATAAATGGGAGACAGTTGTGCTGTCTGCAAGAGGTGGCTGTTACCTTGCTTGTCTTGCCTTTGCCCTGGCTCCATTTTCCTAAAGCCAGCACATCTGATCTGAAAACCCTGCTCCTTCCTTAGGTTCTGTCACTGGCAGCAACTGTAAGGAGCTGGCCTCCCAGCATGATGTGGATGGCTTCCTTGTTGGTGGAGCTTCTCTCAAGCCAGAGTTTGTGGATATTATCAATGCCAAACACTGAAGCACCCCATGAGGAGCCGTCCCTTGTGGTTAAGAAATGGAAGCAAGAAGGGACCTTTCGTTGCACACGTCTCAGTACGGAGGCTTTCCCCCTCCACARTCATTGTTCTAGTTGTTCTGCTAACCACCCCCACCCATGTTGGAGTCCTGTTAGCAGGAGTCTGTGTCAGCAGTCTTGACAGTCTCCTCTCTGAGCTGAATCCTCAGTTGCCCATTCACTTGTTAAGAGCCCACAGCCCACCTGGCCAGTATCTCTCCCTTTCCCTGCAGCCCTGCAGGGCGAGGGGGCCGCTGGTGCTGCGAGAAGGAAAAAGGAACCACAGTCTCTTGCATCCTGCAGCTCCATCAGCAAGGAGCCTGTCAGCTTAGAYCCTTGTGGAGATGTCTTACCTCACCTGTGTTCCGTACTGAACAATAAATGAAAAACAGAAAAAGCAAAGGGGTGTCCTGGATCTTATTTGGAAGCATCTTGGGGTCAAGCAGTGTAGAGAACTTGCTGGTTTTGGAGGTGGCTGGTTGCAGAGAGGGTATTGTGGGTTTTGTGGGATTTTCCTTGAGAGGAACAGGCCACTGTTACCCCAGTAGGCACTGCCAAGTTCAACCTGCATCTTGCATCTGTCATATAACAGCTCTTCTTTGGGCCTATGGTGATTTGATTGGATCTTTTCCATGTGTGTCTCTATTCTAGTAGTTGCTGGAGCACCTAGCTGTYTCTCCTGGCAGGCTCAGTAATGTGCTCATTCCTGCTCTTTGCCTGTAAGGACTGGTAATGGACTTTGCTCATAAAATGTGTAGCGGAGCAGCTCCATCTCTGTGCAGGGAAGGATTTTGTTTATGCGGTATGTTGGGGCAGTGCTGGCTACCCACTTTCAGCCGTATGCTGGTTGGTGGGTGAGAAAGCAAGACTTGATGTTACTTCCCAGCTGCTGATTTTTTTTTGGTAGCTCTAAGGGTGATGAAAAAGAAAGCCTCACAAGGAGGAGCTTAGCTGTGAGGCGGTACATCCTTGGGAGCCTATGAGCAATGTTCCAGCTGCTAGTGCTAGMATCACCTGAGGGATGAGGGGCAGGAGCTGAGGACCAAGAAAGAAAAAGCCTGATGCTGCAGGGACTCCTGCCCTACTACTGCTGGGGKAGCTTCCTTGCTGCCCAGCTCAATGCAATGGGGAAAGAAGAACCCTTCAGAGGCATCTCCCTTCCAGCTGGAGCAGCCACAGCCTCTGGTGTGAGGGGGCAGGCTAAAATGGTGCTGAAACTGGTGGGATACACACTGGGGAAGTTCTGAGTTTCAGGAGCAAGGCCATCCAATATGGAAGTGTATCAAGTGGTCTGAAAAGGAAGAGCCTGATAGCAGCAAGGAGGTGGCAGCTCCCAGCTCTGTATGCGTGTGATGTGGAAAGGAGGAGTGTAATTCAAAGGCAAAAAAAAAAAAAAATATCTGAAAATTGTTTCTTACAGCCAGAGCACATGTTTCTAGAGGCTGCTAGGCCACAGCTGTAGTTTGGGGCCATCGTAATGACCAGAGCAGCAGTGACGCAGCAGGGTCACACAGGGGTCCTATGGCTGCACAGAGTGGGTAGAATCACTCAGGGATGGGCCACAGGCTGCAGCTCTGCTGTCAGCTCCTACCCAGCCCTGCCCACAGCACAAGAGGCCAGAAGAGTGACCTACATAAAAAAAAACCAGATGGGAGCCGAGCATTGATGTTGCTGCTTTGAGGAGAACATAGAGGCATGAAAGCATTAATTTAATGAGGAATAAACTCGTGGAAAATMATTTCTGTATCAGCAGGAATGCCAGATCTTGTTTCTCTTCTTTTTGTCYGCTTTCTGGCAGGACTGCAGCTCTGGAGTGGAAATACTGCCAGATCCTCACAGCAAACTGTAGTGRTTGGATCTTAAACAGGTTGCTGTTGGAGAAAATGCATTCTGCCAGATGTGACAGCCTGAGAGAGGCTGTGATGGCTCTGCATCCTCAGCCCCAAACAATAGGCAGGCTGAGCTTGTATTCCCAGTAGGCACCYTATACACATGATGSACTCAATGATCCTTGTGGGTGTCCTTCTAAACTCAGAATATTCTGTGAGCTTTAATATGTTCTACTTAACTGTATAACCATGGCTGACCACACAGATTACACATCCAGCCACACAGAGCATCCCACACACCACTGGCAGCCTCATCCCATGCCCTGCTCCAGCTGAGCAGGATGGAGGTGCACTAGTGAGCATCTGTGTATATATGTGTATTTATAGAAATATTTACACACTTGGATAGTCTGYCTCCTTCCAGGAGCTGGGCTCAGGCATCACCCAGTAGCTGCCCCTTGATCCCAACCACTCCAGCCCCACAGCAGCCAGCTCCCTGTGGTGCTCTGGCCACAAATTCCTCACCCAGGGCAAAGTGTGAAAGGAGTTTAATGAGAAGATAGAACAGACTGCACTGATCATATGCAGGATGTGGCCAAGCCATCACAAACCGTCTACATTTGACTGACCCTTTTTATTCCTGTATCCCACGTTTGTTTCTCTATAAGTCACCTAGATCCTTCCCTTTCCTGCCTTTGGTTCCTGCCCTAAACACTCTCTGAGTCYGGTGCAGTCCCCAAATGCTTTTCCCCTGCAYCCKGTCCCATGTTTCAGACCCCTGAATTCAGTGACATCCCCAGTCCTAAAGGTTCTCTGGGGCTGATGCTCTTCTGGGAGGGGGCTGGACAGGGAGTCCTTCACTTGCCATTGTCTCTGTGCCCCTCAAAATGGACCTTTAGTGAGCTGATGGCTCCTGGGATAGGCCTGGAAGCAGCCTGGCAGGTGCTGCTTGGGCTCCCCCTCCTGCCATCATCACCCTGTGCTCTTCTGTGGGTGTGTGGGCCAGCTATTAGCACATAACCTCCTTAATTATCAGTATAATTAGGTTTGGAACAATTTAGATATATAGATATAGATATATATACACATATATATACACACAYATATATATATAAATAAAACTTCTCTAGTTTAAAGATTTGGGTTTCTTTCTGTGATTAGAGGATGTTTAGGGCAGGAAGCAAAGGCAGAAATTATGGTTTCATATGCAGATTAATTCTTTACTCTGAGGGTGGTGAGGCCCTGAAGCAGGTTTCCCAGAGGAGTTGTGGCTGCYCCATTGCTGGAGGTGTTCAAGAGCAGGTTGAAAGGCCTGGTCTAATGGGTGGCATTAGAAGGAAGGTTGAAATTAGATGATCTTTGASGTTCCTTCCAATCCAAACCATTCAGTAGTTGCACGATAATGACCAGRGAGTGAAATCAGATGTGCAGTGCAGGAGAAGGGGTCATCACTGGGGAGTCCAGCGGGACAAGGCARGGGACACAGATGGCAGCTTGCCACKCAGCCCTGAGCGCAGAGGTGATGGCTGATGGTTGTGCATCCAGCTCTGCTTGGACCAGCTTATCTAACACTAACGTTACCAGGCACTGCAAAGGGGTAAAGTGCACCGGAGGGAAAGGGAGCAGAGCCTTGGACTTTGTATTGAYCACAAATCACTGGTGACGGTCAGCTCTGAGTAGCGTTCCCGGCTGGTAAACACGCGGTGCTGTTGGCAGTGGCTGGGCACGGGCAGCCCCAATACTTCCCGGCTCCACAGCCTGCAGGTTGGAGCAGTGTACCCCAAAACCCCCTTCCTGGCATCCAGGAGGTCATATTCAGGGAAGCTTCATACAGAGCCCAAGACTAATGCTGCTCAACACGTTAATTAAACATTTACCAGAGGGTAAATTAAGGGTTAATTAAGCATTTACAGCTCGAGTGACCACCACCCTGCGCAGCCCAGCCTGACTTTGGACCGGCCCCGTTTTGAGCCGAGGTGCGCACAGAGATCCCTTCCACGGAAAACCTCCTTCGTTTCTCTGGATACKCTAACAATCTGGGTGCAGATGTCACCCAGCTGGGAATGTGGAGTGGCATCGCACAGACCTTCTGGTGAAGGCGGGCCGCACTCAGCTCTCCGAGCCCTGGTGAAGCGTTGCTGGGGACAGCGGCGGGCCCGTCGCAGCGGTGGCTCCGCGCCGCGCCCCGACAGCCGGGCCCGCCCCCGTTCCCATGGCAGCGGCCAGCCCTCACCGAGCGGCCGCCGCGGGAAGCGGCCAGCGGAGCCTGCACCGGGAGGATGGACGACGAGGAGCTGGAGGACGAAAGGGAAGAGGAGGACGAGAGGGAGGACGATGAGGAGAAGGAGAAGGAGGAGAAAGAAGAGGTGAGGGGGAGGCCCTCAGTACCGCCTAGCTGTGGTTGGGCCAGGGCTGGCGTTGTGCTCTCTCCTTCTCTCCCAGGAGCCGGTTCCCTGTCCCCTGACCGAGGAAATCCTCCAGGAGGGCCTCTCTCTCCTCAGTAAGACCGGCAACGGACTGCGCCACGCATATGTGAAGTTTGAAGCCAAAGAAAAGTGAGTGTGCAATGCCTGGCCCGGCAGAAGCCCCTTACTCCATGGGCATGGAGCCGCTGTGCCACAAGCAGGTGACTGGCCATGAGGGATATGAGTGTATCCAGGGCCTGCTGTCCAGCCTGTCCATCCTCAGCCCTGGGCTGGGCGCTGCCTCCACCACAGCCACACACACCCCTAGAAACAGCGGTGTCCATCAAGATTGAAGGGAGCCTTCCCCTTGTTCTGTGTTTTACTAAGGGCACCTGGACAAAGTGACCTCCCTACAGGCACTTTGCAAATATCCACCGACATCTGTCCTGCCAACAGCTAACCTTTAAGGCAGGCAGCTGTAGGAACAGCATCACAATGGCCTTGGGACAGTTTGGAACCTCAGCCTCCCCAACACACCCACCTAAGACCCTAGTAAGATTTTCTTTCAGCAGCCTCATAGGGTATTTCAACCAYCATTGTTTCCAGTAGGAAAGTCCTTCCACACAGTCCTTGGTGTTGACAMTACTGTCTAACTGATCCCTCCCCAAAACTTACCCTCTTCTCTGCTGTGGTTGTGTCCTGTCCTGACAGAGAAAATTCAATTGGAATGAGTACTCCCTCTGCCAGGAAAGCAGGTCCAATCTCACCATTCATCCTTGTTCAGAGCCTGTTTGGCCTGTCCCTATCACCTGCCTTTTTCTTCCTTCTCTCAGCAAGGCTTTCTAGGACAGCAGGGAAGAGGGGGAGAAAGTTGTCCTCCCTCTAGTAATGGCAAGGAGCAACCCAAAACCTGGTAGTGGAAAAATATGAGAGRTATTTTTTACACATTCTCCCTCCCTCAGGGGCCTGACTGACATCAGCCTCCTCGAACGCTTCATTCATCTGCGATATGTGGATTTGTCAAATAACAAGCTGCGAGATTTGTCCCCACTSAGCAGCCTAACCCAGCTGCTTTGGCTGAAGGTGGATGGGAATCTGCTCACCAGTGCCAGAATGCAGGAGCTGCCCTACCTCCAGGTCATGAGCTTTGATCGCAACAACATCATGGATTTGGAGGGCATTACTCACCCCCTCCTAACCAACCTCAGCCTGAAAGGTGATACAGACCACCTCTCTTCATTCTTGGGGACGCTTTTTTTGAAAGGGGAGATTAACATTCTTGTTTCTTCTTCCTCTGGCACTCAGAAAATAAAATCGAGACAGTGCTGGGCCTCAGTCATGACCAGTTGTTCAGCCTGAAAGTCCTGGAGCTGCGAGGAAACAAGCTAAAGACCACAGCAGGGCTCGGTGTTTTCAAGCTCAAGAAGCTCTTTCTGGTAAGGGATCATTAGGCTGGGGAGTGGGAAAGAGCTGCTGCAGAGCCCAGCACCTGCTGCCCAGATAGTGCAAAGGGAGAAGTCACAAACCACAAATCACAGAGGAGTCAATGCATTGGGCTCTTCCCTCCCTGCTGCAGAAGGGCACTTTTCTCTTCACGCAGCGTTAGGCAAGCTTGTATTCCATGTGCCCTGGGTCCACTGGAGATCACTGGGTGAAACATCAGCTTTGCTCTTTGGGTGACAAGGGGAGATGATGCCTCTTTTCTCTCTCTGATGGGCCTAATCAAATACTGGTTTAAAGCCAGCACAATTATATGAATCACAGCTCCAGCTGCCAAAAAAGAGATTGATTCAACACTGCAGTGAAACTAAGATAGGAGAACCAATTTCTTAATATCATAAACAATTGCTTCAAGGAAGCATTTACTCCTAGAGATGCAAGTGAAGACAGTATGTATGGCTTAGCCCCATGCATCACACTGTGCTACAGCTTGCAAAGACTAAACAGATGTCCTGAGTCACTACCTCTTGAAAAGCARTTAAGTATGATAAAGGCTTTGAAAAACTATGTGGCTTCTTTTCACCAAGACTCCCTGGCAGAAAACACTGAGGAGATTGCTTGCTGAGATTGCCTGCAATTTTCTTGTGGAAAACTGGGATTTTTTGACTAGAGGTGCTCAAAGAATGGGTGAAGTGAATAAGTCACTGGATACAATACAGCATTTCAAAGCACACCCTATTGTGAGTTATCAGAGGGAAGCAAACACAGCATCTCTGTTGAGGGAAGGTGACTGAGGGGCATGAGTGAGGGGTTTGTGAAGTGGGAAAATTGCAAGGGATAATTATTAGAACTAGAACAACTCAATTTCAAGAATTGTTGGGGCTTGAATTCATCTCCCATGTCCACCTGCTCATTAAATTATTTTGCAGGGAAATCTCTCCTAGTAATGCTTTGGTYTCTGTGTAAAGACTTTGGTGTTACTTCAGCCTTGGATAGGTGCAGCTGATGCCTCAAGAACAAGACAAAAAGTTCAATTTAAGAAATTGAACCACATTTRATTAATGTATGACATAGCTGCAGATGAAATTTAGTATGTCAAATGTGGTATGCAGGAAGACTACAAGCTGGCTGTGTACCATATGGCACTTGCATCAGTTTGAGGGTCACAGTAGGGCTGTGCAGGCTCCTGGTCATGGTGCAGCAGTAGTGGCAAAGGCTAATGAGAGGAAGGTGAAGTGTACAGAAAGGGGAAAGGGAATCATGGGCAACATATGATAACTTTCCATAAGAAATGGTGGCATCACATCTGTGTGAAGAACTGGTATCTAAGGTAAGGTGATGATGTGTCAGATGGAATGTTACTTGATTTAGGGGAAAAAAATAAAACAACTCTGAAAAATACCCATTCTGCATTGTCCCACTAGTACTTGCAGGGCCAGAGCTGGAAAAACTACTCACACTGAAGTGATGAAGAAAGTGAGAGTGATGGGAGGTTACTATTCCTCTTCKAAACTGGTGATCAGTGAGCTCCCCACCCACACCAGCTCACGATTTTCTCTGAGATTCAATGTCCTAATCCTCTCTGACTGTTAAATCTTCTCATRTGGCCTTCACTAAATATCCAACTTTCTTCTTTTTGTCCTGGTGTTACTCTTTTCACTTRGCCCAGCTGGTCCAGACTCTCCTTTGTCCAGTTTCTATTAAAATCCTCCTTTTTGACAAAACATCCTTCTCCTGAGTGACTCAGCCCTAAAGTGTTCTTCTATCCTACCAGTTCAGCCTGTGCCCCTTTTTCAGTCTCAGGTATTGCCCATGTCACTGCTTGGGTACCTATGAAGAAGAGAGAGGACAACAGCACCTCTCACCCCATTTTTCATTCAAGTTTCAACATGCTTAGAGACTGCAGCCCCGAGCCACATCAGCAAGGGAAGCCCTGSTCAGCTCCAGGCTGGAGAACGTGGCAGGCAGATGATAATTCCCAGGGATGCTCCAAACTTGGCCGCACAAGASGGTGAGCAGCCTGACAGAGCGTAGGTGCTGGCACTGCAGGGACCCCGCGCCTGGGCAGGAGACCTCTAGTGGTCTTTTCCAGCCGAAATCCTGCTGTGAAACTAATCCTGAAATTCAGAGCTTCGTATTTCCCTGCTTCATTAACCCACACCACAGTAAAGTGAATGAAATTCAGTGGTGGGGAATTTTAAACTTCCTGAAGGAAGACACAGCCCAGAGGAGCAGGAGAGACTTCTTGGTCATAGATTTTCCCCACAAGGGAAGCAGCTGACTGGAAGATGCCTGGACTCCATGGACTTGTATGACTGAGAGGGGCTAGTTATTCATCCTTTAAACACACTTGTTTTAGGCTCAGGTGTGCTTTCCCCTCCTTGCTGTTGCTCCCTGAGGCCCAGATTTCAGCACTGCCATGGAAAGGGGTGCRATGCCGGTGGTGTAGTATTCACCTGGGATAGTTCTGTCTCAGACACCAAGTCTCGAGGAAACACTTTTCCAGCAAACTTGGTCCTTGAATCTGAACCCTTAGAACCCTCTTGGCCAAAACCMTGAACAATCTGATCTAGCTTCAGAGAAGGCTGTGTTATGAGTGGTGACAAATCTGAAGGGTTGAAAGATCTTTAAAGGCTGGAAATAACTGCTGTTCACTCTCCTCTGTGCCCCCTTTTTCCTTCTCTCTTCCTGCCTCCCTGGTGCTCAGGCCCAAAACACCATTGGAAGCCTTGAAGGCCTTGAGGAGTTTGAGCAGCTGGAGACTCTGCACCTGCGTGGCAACAAACTTGAGGTCCTGGATGGATTCTCTGTTAGCATGAGGTGTCTGCAGTACCTCAATCTACGGTGGGTCCTCCCTGCTCTGTGTTGGGACCAGAGATCCCTTCATCAGACTGTACTCCCACTTAGATTTTTAGGATTTTCTGGAGGTTTTTTTGGAACTTGAAGACCTGGTAGGGATGCGTTGGTATTTACTGTCCTTAACTGGTGTTGAGCACTCAGTTGTCTAGGCATTGTAACAGCCAGGGCCTTTCCTACGCTTCTCAGAAAATATCTGCCTCTCCAGTCACTCTCATATTCCACCTCATGCTTTTATTCYTTGCCATAACTCAGTTGGATCCCTCAAAGTGTGCATTCCATGTTCTGCCTGCAAATGCGCTTTTGTTCTCGGCATTTGCCGTGCAGGGCCATGRTGATGTCACACGGTTCAATGGCCTGTCTGAGCACAGAGGAATCCAGAGGCRATGTTCCTTTTGTCCCTCAGTCTGGAGAGCTGCAGACAGAACTGGATCTTAGATCATAGATCTATGGTCTAAGGTCTATGGTCCCTCATGCTGCTAAATTTTGCTTTGTCTTACACACTTACTGTTCCAAAGGGATTTCAGTACTTGCACGGCTCTCCTTCCTCTGCTCTCTGTGCTTCCTTTTCTTCAGGAGCAATGGGATCCGTAGCTTTGAGGAGGTGGAAAAACTGCAGGTTCTCCCCATGCTGCAGGAATTGGTGCTGTTGGARAATCCATGTGGTGAAGATCCCAATTACCGGCTGGAGGTCCTGATCCGGCTGCCACAGCTGCTACGCCTYGACAAGGAATTAATCGAGGAAGACGAGCTGGAAGAGGCAGAGAAACTGCATCAGACAAGGCAGGAAAGCGAAATGGTGAGAACAACACATTGGGGGGAGAAGGAGGTGAAGAGAAAGATAAAGGCTCAAACATGCTGCTAAAGCCTCTCCTCCGCTATATTATATGAGGAGAAGGGTGAGGKATGTCAGCCTCAAGAGCAGAAGAGCCTGAAGAAGAGGCTAGGCTTTGCAAGCTGGTTGTGGTGGCCAGCATGTAACCCTGCTGCTGCTCCTGACCCCTCTAGCAAAAAGAGGGTGGTGAAAGGGGAAGAGACTTCTGGCATGGAGTCATTAACTTCTCCTTYTTCCTTTCTTCAGGAAATGGAAGGATCTCTTGAGGATGGAGAGATTGAGTGACCCGTTTTTAACACCTGTTCCCAGAGGCTGTCAAGATGTGGAGATGCCTTCCCCCATAAGTGAGGCTGGGAAAGTGAGAGCTGTAGGTACCAGCTTCACCTCATCTTACCTCTGGAGACAAGAGAAGAGCTACCCATCCTGGTCCTGTAAGCTKCCCTGAGGCACTGCAGTGTTTTTGCAGTCACTGCACTGATGTGTTCTATTCTCAGTAGGCCTGAGAGGGGAAAGGGGAGAGTTACAGGTTCTGTGCTTTGATTTATGACTCCCAAAAATCCTGCAAGATTTTCTGATTTGAATAAAAATAATTAATGAGCCTGGAGTGACTAGGATTGTTTATCCTGCACACCCACTCCTATTCCCTGGCTCTCTCACCCTCATATGTCTACGTCTATCCCTTGCTGCCTGCCTCTCTCTCCATCCCCTACGTGCTGTTTGCAAAGCTTTGCTAAATCCTGACTCATCGCAGCTCTGGGTCACATGCTGCTGTCCCGGCCCTATCAGGGGCGTCTCCATCCTGCTGCTGCCGCCACCGTTGGCTTAGAGGACACATCATCTCCCCTTGAGGTCCTGCATCCCTCCTCAGCTTCGTCCTCTCTCCTTTCTGCCAGCACTTTCTCAATCTCTCGTCCACCCCTGCCCTAGGAAGGTAAGTGTCTCCCTACGGCCAGCACCCCCCTCACTGCGTGCACGTTTCTGCTGCCCATCTTGTGCCCTCCGAACCCCACACGCACTTTGGGGTCCCTGCGGAGAAGGACCACGGTGAGCGGCATTAACAACTAAACTCCCCTCACTTCCTCCCCCTGCTCCTCCCACCTCTCCTCACCCCCATCCTTCTCACTTTTCTTTCATATTTTAATTTCAGGTACTCCCTCCTTCCCAAGCCCCCCCCTTTCCCCTCCCGGCGATCATCATTTCAGACGTGAACCCAGGGAATTGCAGGAGGGGGGCAACCAACGAGGATAGGTGGCGCTCCCAAGGGCACTCTCGGGAGGTGCTGCGGGATGGAGCTTTCCCTGGGTGAGGGGGTGGTAGTGGGGAGAAGGCAAAGCTCAGTCTGGGCACCGCTGGGGAAAGGATCCAGCCTCAGAGCAGACCAGCCCCCCCGGCTCCCGAGGTGTTGACATAAACGCGGGCGCTCAGGGAGAGGGAGGGAGGGAGGGAGGAGAGGGGATGTTTTCCTATTTGCACAGCCCCACACCACAGGGGAGGGGGAGAGCMGGGAGAGGAGGTGACAGTCAGGCGAGCACTAGCTGCATCAGTCACGACACTGCAGCAGTGCGGGCTTCCTGGGAGCAGTGCCCAGCCCGGGGGAATTGCAGCAGCACACGGGACGGGTGGTCGTGCCCTGGGGGAAAGGTCTTCACCGTGCTGGCCCGGCGGGGACAGGGAATTGCTGCCAGCGCCAGTTCCACAGGAAGGCACTGCAGCAGCACCAGCCTCCCAGCGTGCACTGCCCAGCGCCTGTTCACGGGGGGCTGCACAGCCTCCTCTCTCTCCCTGGATGTGGTCTTTGGCCTCCCAGCTATGGCTCCATCCCAATCCCTTATCCCAGCTTATCCGCCTCTGACCTCCTTTCAGGATGGTGCAGCTGATGACAGGGATTTCAGGGTGTTTCTGTTCAAAAGAGGGCAAACACAGGGGACACGGGGGCAGCAATACAAGTGGTGAAAAGGGCTTARAAGACTACAGGGGAGAGGACATAATGTAAGTGATGGGGTGGAGCAGGCAAGGCTGGATTTGGATTTGCCATTTGGCTCCCTTGGACTGTCTGAGCTACAGTGGATGATAAGAGGGGCAGGTGGATGTGACCACAGGGATGTGACCGGGGGCAGCATGACCACATCAGCAGAGAGGCATAGCACCTGGCGCAGGTTTGCTGTCAAAGATGACTTTAAGTGGGGTCCTGTCCCTCGCTATCCCGTGGAGGCTGTTGAGGCACAGCCAGGACACTGCTGCAAAGGAAGCTCGCGGCTGGCAGCGCGGGCACGGCTCACGAGGAAGTTCCTGTGGCGTGTGCCAGATGGCGTGAGGAGCACTGCCAAAGCGGCTGATGGGGGATCCCAGCCCAGATGGACATGGTGGAGGGCCCTATGCAGGCTCCACAGAGCCCTGGAGTCGCTGACTGAAACTGCCCACACGGGAAGCTCTGGCTGGAACTTCAGAGCACGATTTCCTCACACCCCTGTGATTCCCACCCAGCTGGGGCAGTGGGGTTGAGCGCTGACTCCAGCTTCCCCTATCCTGCTTCTTAGCTGCACTCAGTGCTGTGATGTGCTGTTCCCCTCATTCCCCCCTCCTMCTGTGCCGAGGCCTTGTGAGCCCTGCTCACACACACCATGGGGAGGCCCTGGCTGGGGCTCCATGGCTACTCCGGCCTCTGCCAGCCCTGCTTAGGTTGAGGGAATCTGCGGGAGACAGGGCAGGAAAACCTGGCAGTGCTGGGAGCATGGGGGCACCTCGCTGCAGCACCCTGGCATTACACAGCCCCACAGCCAGGGGAATGAGAAGGTGGCATGGGGAGACTGAGCTGGTTTGGAGCCCCCCAAGAGCAAACTGCAGCAAGAGAAGCTCTTTCAAACCGCTGTCATCACCCACCAGCCTGTTTCCTACTTCAGGTTTAACCAGGTGTCCCAAAATGCCAGGCTTCTTCCCCCTCCTCATCCAACCGAGATAGAGCCCCATCTCGTCCACTTCCCCATCTCAGGAGCRGAGCAAAGGGTCAGCAGATGGTCCAGGTCCCCCTTCTCTTCAGAGCCCTCTTTCCCATGTCTGAGACACTGTGGCCTTCAACAAGATGGCTCCTTGGGCTGCCATGCTCCACACTCCCACCGCCTTGCCACAGCCTGACCCTGCAGCTCCCAGGGAACACAGGGAGGCTGAGCGGGCACTCAGCAGCGGGACATGGCTGGGGGCTGGGACAGCCACACTGGGATGGCTCCCCTGCTGTGAGCTGGAGAGGGGCTGGGGTTCCCACTGGCTGGTTGCCCCCCTGCCCTGCCCATCACGCTCAGCTGGCTCCCTGCTCACTGCACGGGGACACAGCAGCCGCCTGCTGTCTGGCCTGGCAGGCRCTGTCCTCGCCTCCCGGCAAGGGGACAAGAGATGCCAGGAGTTGGTGCCCCGTCCTTGACGCCAGAGCCAGGGGCACCTCCCCGCTGCGCCAGCTGATCCCTCCCTCTCTGCTGCCCGTGGCACCCTCCCCATCCTGCCATCCAGGCTCATATCGGGCGCTCTGCCATGACGCAGGGAGAGAGGGAGAGAGTGCTCCCGGCTTGTCATCTGCAGCAGAGGGACAGACTAAATTCAAATAGCTAGCCAGTTCCTGGCAAAATGTTCATACATTCCTGTAGTCTGGGTGAATTTCTAAAATTCCTGGGGCCAATACTTTTAGCCTAAATTCGTAAGGTCACTTTTCCATGAACTCCCTTCTCTCTGTCAGTCTAGGCATAGAAGGGGTGAGCACCATGTCCTGGGGTGTCTCAGAGCTGAACGTATCCTGTTCTCCCCACAGACTCACCATGGCAGTCGAGAGGATCCATGCCCGCGAGATCCTGGATTCCCGTGGGAACCCCACCGTTGAGGTGGATCTGTACACACACAGAGGTACGTGGGTGAGGATAAGAGTCGGAGGGAAAGCCCTGCCCGCCCCAGCAGAGCACAGAGGGTCCTCACTGGTGAACCCCCAGCCAGGCAACAAGTCAGGGGAAGAGGCAGAGACCAAAACTCTGTTCGTGGCTCTGCTTGTGMCTGTGCTCAGCAACTCTGCACACATGCTGGGCAAATCACAACCAGACAGCTGGCTGTCCTGTGTGTGACTTGAGCCATGTGCCTGTTCAGAGCAGGGATGAGAGGTTTTGTTAACATAAATGCGTGCACCTTCTCGTCACATCCCTGTACTGCAGCTATACTTTTAGTACTGGGGCACRGTAGAAGTTTGGTTGCACATCCATGGCCATGCTCATGGCAGGGGTAAAGCTTTGTCCCTGAGATCTCTGTCTATGCACGGCGCTCAGCTGCAAGAGCTGGATTTGCACTGGGCCCAAAACTACTTGGGCTGAGGGGTGAGGAGCAGTGAGAAGCCAGAGCAGGCAACCAACCATTGCCTTCCTTCTTCAGTGAGGCAGAAACCTCAGTCTGAGGGGGAGGAAGCTGAGGGTGGCTGTGAGTCAGGCTGCCTCTGGAACCAGGAGGAGGGCTGAGAAGCCAGACTTACACCCATCACACACAGTTCTGGGATCAGGTTCCTCACTCTGGCAGCCCTGGGTGCATTTATTGCTGCCACTGAGGTGCTCCACCTCTAAGAGGACCAGCCAAGAGAAGCCAGCCAGCAGGGCCATCCATTTGCACACCCAGCTGCTGCATCCTTTTCCATGAAAGCAGGGCAGAAGCAGGTGTGTGAGGACTTTGTCTCTTAACCCCCTGCTCATCTCACACCTCTATTTCGCTGTTTCCCAGGCATGTTTCGAGCAGCCGTCCCCAGTGGGGCATCCACTGGTATCTACGAAGCGCTGGAGCTGCGAGACAATGACAAGTCACGTTTCCTTGGAAAAGGTGGGGAGATGCCTGCTCCACGCCTCATCCTCGGGGCTGTTTGTGTGTGTGGCTCTCTCTGCTGGAGGGTACTGCTCATCCACCAGTGTGACACGGATGTGTCCCACCACCCTCAGAGAGACCACAGAGGCACAGACCTAGTCTGAAGTGAAAGATRAAGCCTCGATCTTCCCTTGCTGTCTCCCTCTCTCAGTCTATCAGTCCTCTCCCTCCTTCTTTCCACTCTTCTCTCTGCCTCACTCTCTCTCTCTCTCTCTTTCTTTCTCTGCCTCTTCCCTTCTTTAGGGGTCCTGCAGGCCGTGGATCATATCAACAGCACTGTCGCCCCAGCTCTCGTGGGCTCTGTAAGGATTTCTCTTTGTTCTCCCTTGTCCAGCACTTACTCTGGTCCGTCTCTGTCCCCTGATCTCTGTCTCTGCCTCTTTTCATCTCACTGGGTTAACAGACACAGCGATGCTCTCTGTGAACCTGGGCACACCCCTCCTGCCCTCCATGCCTGTGTGTGTCCACAGAGATCTTTTCTCTGCAAGGAAAGGATTTGAYGCTTCCTGGTCCACCGCAGCATCTSTACAGCCTAGCTAGTCCCCTTGGTGCTCTCTGTAGAGCTCACTCCCTCTCTCAGCTGTGCTCCCCCTCAAGCACTGAATCACATCCATGTCTGTGGCCTCATCMTGCTGTGATGAGCAATGGTTGCATCGTGCAGGGTCTGGCACAGCCCTACAGAGCAGTGGTGTCACATCTGCAGCCTGTTTACACCTGG